TTATTCTCGTGTCGTCGCTGGTTTTCTCCTCCTGCGGTTCTCACCCCAAGGCATCACTCCTTCCTGTGCCCTTTGTCTTTTCTCTCTCCTGCCTCCTTACTCTAGATTTCTCTGTTGTGCACAATTCGTCTACATTCAGTCTCTTGAGTGATGAGAAGTTATTCGGGACCCACCAGTCCTGACACATTCCCCTCACTCATTCGCGATGTCCTCGTCGCGCACCAATCTCTTGTTAGTGGGTTTTGGAGGGATAGACGGGGGAGGAGGGTGAGATGTTATGGGTAGTTAGTTTGCCAGGGTCCGTTTTGTCTTTTCTTGTTCCTTTTTCGGGTTCTTCTAGGCTTCAACCCTTGGGACGGGGGGAGGTGCATATGATTCAGGCTTTCTTCAGACTTCTCATGTCTCATTCATCACTCTGAGAACATCAAAGTCATTTTCGTCTCGTTCATCACTTTGAGAACATCAAAGCCCCTTTTGTCTCGTTCGTCACTCTCAGAACATAAAAGCCCCTTTCCAGCCTTCCTCTTTTCACTGCCCCTGCTTTTTTTCCCTCGCCTTGCCATCCCAAGCGCTCTTTTGTTGTTCCTCCATCCACCCCGTGCCAACCACGTCCCTTTTCTGACCCTGGTTGTCCTCAGTGCTTCTTTTACTCGGTTTTTCGGCCCGTGCAATCCACGCCTCAGGTCATTCTTTCCTCAATCTCATGCTTAGCCAAATTCACATGTATTTTTTCCATATCATTTTGCCCTGTTTTTTCTAGACCTGCCAATTCCGCATGCACGTCACCCTCATTCGGCCTTTTCTGTACCCAAGCTAAAAAATGTGTGTGACTGAGTCCATTTCATACGCCTCTTTCTTCTGGCATACTGCCAGACCTTTCTTAAACTCATGCAAAGTCCATTACACATATAGCTCTCTTCTGGGTGTCTTGCGAGACCTATCCTTAAGCCTATGCAAACCAAATTATACATGCCTTTCTCTTCTAAATGTCTTGCCATGGCTTCTCTCAAGCGCACGAAAAGTCAACTACTCATCTATTTCTCTTCTGGACATCTCGCCAGACCCTTTCTCAAGTGTGCGCGAAGTCAATTATACAAGCATTTTTCTTCTGGACATTTTGCCAGGCCTTTTCTCAAGCCTGCGCTAAGTCAATTATGCAAACATTTTTCTTTTGGACATCTTGCCGGGCCTTTCTCAAGCCTGCGCAAAGTCAATTATACAAGCATTTTTTTTCTTTTGTACATTTTGTCGGACCTTTTCTCAAGCCTATGCAAAGTCAATTACTCATCCATTTCTCTTCTGGACATCTTGCCAGACCTTTTCTCACGCCCATGCAAAGTCAATTACTCATCCATTTTTCTTCTG